GTTAAGGATTTTTAATCATAACTTTTAAAAACTTTATGTCTAGGTTTTTTGATGATAACTTTAAATTACATGTGTTTTTATTTTTGTTATTTTACATTTTTAATTTTGAATTTTTGGTTTAATATAGTGATAATCCTATTTATAATATGAAATTTCAACCATTAAATAAAAGCAATGCAAATAAATGGTTTCTATTAATAAAGTATAAAAAGAGAGTCCATCAAAAGGAAGATTTTTTATTTACCAATTTCTTTATGGGTTTTAAATCAATAATTGCAATTTGATCTCATAGATCTTATGGTCTTTATTAATTGGCCTTACAGTAAGGTCAAAAATAATGATTTTACTGTAGAATTTGCCATATCAAAGGCATCATTAATTGGTTATCCTTGAAAAAGAGTTATACAAACTGATTATTTTCAAAAAAAAAAAATCCAAACCTAGCCCATTTAGCATCTGCCATGAGTTGGGGCGATGACCTAAAAGATGAAAAAGATGACACCAACCACCCATAGAACGGCGAAAGTGATCTCCTGCTTGATAGCAACCACTACGATGGCATCTCAAGGTCCTAAGTATTTTTAGGGTTCAAGTTTTTGGTTCTTACTTTTTCTTCCTTTTTGCAAAAAGAATGGAGAAAGGAAGCACTCAGGTGAAACACATTCAATTCTGACCTAGTCGGGGTGATCAAACCACCAACACTCAAACCAAGCACATGGGGGAAAATTTGAAAAAGTGACTTTGGGCTCTGGTGTTAAGACGAAGTAAGATCCAGTTAGTAGGGGTTTAAGCTTTTAGCGAGGAGTTCCTGGTAAAGTTGGCAATGAATGTCTGCTTACAAATGGTGGTGCTGGTGCTGGCAATGGTGGCAGAGGTAACTTTTACTTTTTATGTTTGTTGGATAAGATTATAATACTTGATAGTCTCACATTGGAAGATAATTATTCAAGATATGACCGTTTAAATTAAAACATATTCTTTGAATAAATAGAAAACATCTTTTCAATATCTATAAAAAAAGGAAGAACTTTCAATATAGGCATCAACCTTTAAAAGCATTCTGCAATAGGTTTGTTGTATCCTACAGAGTCTTCACCTACAAATCTCCATAATAGGCAACAACTATTTAAAGAAAGTGTATTACAGCACGCCTCAAGTCCTTCTTCACTTTTCTTATACTGATTTTCTAACAATAAAGAGTTGTTGGTGCAAAAGATGTGTGGCATTCCTATCATACATTAAGGTATAATAATGCCAATATGTAAATAGCATCAAGATCCATATGAAAGGTGGACATATAGCATTCCTATTATATATTAAGGTATAATGATATTAATGTAAATACCATCAAGGTGATCTATGTGATAGGTAGGTATGTGACAAACCTATTACACATGACGGTATAATACTGCCAATATGTAAATTTAACATCTTTATACACTGTGTATTCCTATTTTATCATTGAAGGCATAATGGTGCAACATAGATATTTAATATCTTTGGCTTGACATTCTAATTGTGCAATAAAGGTATAATGGTGCTTATGTGAACATATATATTGATGTATTAATTTGACATTTCGATTATACATTAAGATACAATGGTGCCAATTAAGAAAGAAGGATTTTCTTATGCTAGTTAGATAGCTAGTATTGATGACAATAAATTCACATCATAATAGATTTTTACCTTAGCAGGTAGTGCCATTAATTGGGCATTTAAGAAGTAAACTTGTATTACACATTCCAAATGAAATCTGAATTTTATAGCATTAACAGCTACTGGGAAAGAAGCAAAATGGATGAAAAAATTGTTATTAGATATAAAGTTGTGGCCATAACTGATGCCAGCCATTTCCATATATTGTGACAATGAAACAATAATATGTGTAGCCACAATAACATTTATATTGGAAAGTCTAGACACATAAGTTTACAGCATAACTACATAAGAGAATTAATCTCAAATGGCGTTGTAATAATAGTTTGTGTTAAATCTTGTAAGAATTTGATCGATCCACTTACCAAAGCTTTACCAAGAGAGGTTGTAAAATCAACATCTAGTGAAATTGGGCTAGAACCCTTGACTTAAATGCATTAATAATGAAAACCCAACTTTAACTTCGCAAAACTAACAATCAAAGTTTAATAGGTAATAACAAGTTACTATATATTGTTATTATGCACTAAATTTTTTATATTAAATAGCCTCATTCCAGAATATTCAATGCGACTATTATGAGGAGAGCATGGGCAAAAGGTTCTTAATGAAAATGTTAAATGCTTGTAGTAATAGAGACATAATGATAAATTCTACCTATATGAATATTAAAGTGATGCTGCTTCAAACAAAAGTTAAAAGGTTTTACTCGAGTAAATATTCATGAAATAGGATTAGCACAAAGCCATATAAGTGCTAAAGTAGTTGGGAGAATCTTAAAAGTGATTAAATAATGTTATGTGTGATATTTTCGGTTATGACATAAAGAGTTGTGGTTCAATCCCCGAGAGACCAATAACTTTGTCTTAATTTTAAAATTTCTACACTAGTAGAAAGTTCAAATCTTCAAGATATTTTCTATTATGCATAGTATTATTAATATTACAAACTAGTAGGGGAGTTTTGAATAGTTTGTAATATTTTGCAGTCTCATGTTGAAAGATAATTATTCAATTGTTCAAATTAAAACATAACTCTTTAAATAAATATAAGTGTTTTCAACAAACACAACTGTTGAAACACAATAGACACAACTTTTCAATATTCATAAAAAAATGAAAAAAAACTTTCAATACAGATATCAACCTTCAAAAGTATTCTACAATAAGCTTGTTATATTCTGAAGTCCTTATTTGCCTTAAAAAAAAGTGTGTTACAACACGTTTCAAGCCTTTCTTCTCTTTTCTTATACTAATTTTCCAACAATGTTTCTATTTCTGTGGTATTGCTCTTGTTGTTTTTCTGTTGTTGGACTTGGGGAACACCAAGTCGGATCCGAAGGCAGACCCCCATTCATTAGAATGGTGCCACTTGACACCACTCAATTACAAAAAATATTTATTTATTATATTACTTGTTTAGAGTTTTACATACTTAATAATACTAATGAACCCATTAATTTTTTTACAATTTTGTAAGGAGTGGGGTCAAAAAATATATTTAATTAAAAATCTATATATTAATAATATTTAAATTTTATCAAAAAGTAGATTTATCAAAATGTAATTTATATATTAATATTTAAATACTACATAAAAAGATAAAAATATTTCTTTTCATAATTTAAGATTTTATCAAAAAAGTCAAAATCTAAACTACTCTCCTCTAAAAAAATTCAAGTCCTGCTCTTGAGACCCGCAATAACTTTTTCTCAATCGTTGATTGTATTATTCATTCTCTCAAAATAACTCAACTAGACTTCAATTGTAAATCATTTTTAACTTAAATTAAGTTTTTAAATGCTTCATGTCTAAATATTTTTTGATTAATTTGATAGTTTAGGTTCACAATTATAATCTAACTAATAAGAAATAATATTACATGTCAAAAAATATCTTACAATTATGAATTATGTGGTTTGTGGATGCTTGTATTTAATTTTGATCAATGAATTAAAAATTATCATATTGTTAGTTGTTGAATTTGTTAATGTACTATGTAAGATAATATTTTATTTAATTTTAATATTGTTTGATATATTTGATAGTGTTTCTACTAACGTTATCATGTAACGTTTTCAAAATACGAAAAATTATCATAGACAATTATAATTTTTTTAAAATATTTTTACTTTGAAATATTAAATAAATATATTAAACTTACATTTTTTTAATTTAATGCTAGCTTTTAGTTTATAGATTTTAACAAATTTATTTTTTTAATTATGACATCAGTCAAAAAAAAATTCTTGAATCCATGTCTGGTCGGATCTCCGACTTAAAAGGAACAGCTCGAGGTTTCTTGAAGGAATCATCCACTGCCATTGTTCTTTCAGACGGAAAATAACTACCAAAGTATATATAAAGAGTAAAAGCAAGCTGCTAAAACAAACTTTCATCATCTAGAGTGAGTCTGTCTAGGCCTTTATATATAGTTGGGGTGGCAGCCAGGGATGAAGGAAAAGCTTAGTCTCAGCGGTGTAGAAGCCATGATGGTGGGGCTGGTCCATGCACGTATTTGAGTTTGACTTAGGTCCATTCAAGGCCGAAGCAGTTTCCATCATAAAAACAGAAGAAAGTTGAACGAGGCAGAAGATTCAAACATCTGTCAGTACTTGAGCTAGACTTTTTCAGCATCCAACTCGAAATCAGAGGAGGGGTTTTCCTTTGATTTGGGTTCAGATGGAGCATGGAGCTCTGGGTTTTTGAATTGTCAAACTATTAGAACGGTAAAAATTCTAAAACCAGTTTGTTGCAAGGGCTGGTGTTAGAAACAGAGACCAACCTGATGACTGCCATAGCCAGGCCAGCTAAGTGCGAATGTGCAATGGAGATTTGAAATTTTGGGCTCCAGCTCCACCCAGACATTATCATAAGAGCTGCATCACTGATGTTGTGCTCCATTCCAATATATGTCATGATATATCTCACGTAAACGAAAAGTAACTTCGATGGTTCAAATGGAAAACAATCTTATTACACTCAGTTTTACCATTATGAGAGCAACAAAAGTAATTTGGTCCCCATTCATCATCTTTTCATTGTACTAAATAAGCATTGCTGTTGTGAATAATACTATGAAACAGGATGCAAGTAGGCGTGTCAAGAATCACCCTCCTCATCTTTAGGATTAGATTACAGATCAATTAAAGAGATCAAACTTGACATACAAGATCCATGTAAGACTAAGTAACATGAGACTCAAAAGATGGGCCCATCTTCGATAAATAGACAGCTTAACACAAGTTTGAAAAGCCGCTTTGTTGCAATATATTACAATTCAAAAAGTTGAATCTTTACTTGTCTTCAAAGGCCCCTGCATCCCAATCTAGACTGTCCCCTAACTTTCAAAACAGAATTCTTGTGGCATGTTACACAAAGCTCTCATTGTGTTGCTGGCCACATCCAGCAGCTGCAAGTACTCATCTGCACCATCCACTAGATGCGTATCTGCCTCAGCTAAACTGTTGCAAATTCTAGCTTTTTGCTCATCTGGTACATCATCTGCCTCAACAACCACATCAAATAACTGAGAAAGCATCTGAGAAACCGGAAACCCTTCTGCAATTCCATTATTGACTTGTTTGCCAAATCAAAGTTGCCGCTTTTGCATGCAGCATAAAGTGCCTCAACAACTTCTTAAGGGGTAATCCCAGATACACTAAGTAGGTCCTTAGAAGAAATTGTTGACCCAAATAAGTGTGCAGCTCCCTGCAAGTTTGTATTAAACCTCAGTGGTTATTATATCCTTTTTGCCTCTTACACCATTTTTTTTATCTTTATACCAACAACTAAGAAAACAAAATTTTGAATTCAATATCATTATTCACAATTTATCATACTGGAAAAGAATTATGCAGACACAACACACAGACACAGAAAAACCTTAAAAATAACAATCAAACTGCAGCAAAGACTTTCAATGAAAACAAAATCTCCACGGATGGGATGTAATGAGCACACTATTAAACAAACAAGAAGGCCCTTGATTCTATTTTCCCTGGAATTGAACTAGCATTAATTCAAGTAAAAAACAGTACACCTAAACACAGAGCAGGGCCATGCCCTCATCCCAGATTCATTCTGTTTGATATAAAACTAAAATGAGTTCAGGGTACTTACAAGTACAAATCAAATTTCTCCTCTGTAACCACCAGAACCAAAATAATCCCTTCTAGAACTTGCAATCGCCATGCTTTTCTGATGCTCTAACTTGGGGCAATCCCGGATACGATGGCCCAACCCACCACAATAAGCACAACCCTTTACACCACTTGCATTGGTGATTGCATCCACATCCTCCATTGGATCATTAAGCTCAGCCAAGACAGGTGGAATCCTCTGTTTGGCTTCTTGCAAAAGGTGTTTCAAATCAAGCAAGGTTGTCTCACTCTGGTTCTTATTTATGAATGTGGTTGCAATTCCTGTTTTACCACATCTTCCGGTTCGTCCTATTCTATGGACATAGTTTTCAATTTCAGCAGGCATATCATAATTGACCACATGTTGAATATCAGGAAAATCCAAACCCTTTGATGCAACATCAGTTGCAACCAAGACATCCTTCTTGCCAGCTTTAAAGGATGAAATGGCATACTCTCTCTCTTCTTGGTCCTTGCCTCCATGAATGGCCACAGCTTCAACTCCTTTCAAGAGGAGATATTCATGAATGTCATCCACATCAGCCTTATTCTCACAAAATATTAAAACAGGAGGAGGGGTTTTTTGTAGGCATTCAAGGAGGTAGACTATCTTTGCCTCTTGCTTCACATACTCGACCTCCTGAATCACATCAAGATTTGCAGCTCCTGCTCTTCCAACATTAACAGTAACTGGTTTTACTAAAGCACTTCTAGCGAAGTTCTGAATTTTGGTAGGCATAGTTGCAGAGAACAAAAGGGTTTGCCGTTGGGCTTTAAAGTGGTCAAACACTTCCCTGATGTCATCTTCAAAGCCTAAATCTACTAGTCTATCCGCTTCATCCAATGTCAAGTACCTATAGAAGAAAAACCCATTGCTTAAGCATCATTATCTATCTAGAGCAAAAAATTTTTAATGTAAATGGCATACATATAATCTATATATTTTGGGGGTAAAAAGGCCAGCTGTAACAGATTCAACATAGTTGATATCTTTAAAATTAAGTGCAAGGATAAAAAACAATGCAAACATAATTAGCATTCCATGATAGCAGAAGTATCAAGAGATATCTAAGAAAAATTAGTAACAACAGAAAAAAAAGTACAAAATCTTTTCCCAATAAGAGAAATGCCCAAATGTTAACAGGCAAACCAAAATTAAGCTAGCTGTGACAAATAAAACACCATACAATATCTTTCAAAATAAATGCAAGAAAAATTGCAAAACAGAGCACAAGTAAAGAGCACTACATATTTCACCATAAATATACAAAGCACTACATATTGGAAAAAGTACTTGAGAGATATTAAAACAAGTGACAAACAAGTTAACAGGCAAAACAAAACTAAATTGCTTCCCCATCCCCCACCAAGCCTCTATAATATTTTCACATCTCTGATTCTGTCAATGCATACAGCAGCAGCTTAAGTTACCACAACCAACTAAATTCAAATATATACTGCACTGACAGTCATGAGACCAAAAGTAGCAGGTTAGTTAATTCACAATGGTGTTATTAGAAGCGCTGAATTAATAATCGTTACCTGCAATTGTCTAAACTCATCTTCTTCTTGGCAAGCATATCCTTCAGCCTCCCAGGGGTAGCAACAACAATGTGAACCCCTTTCTTCACAACATCCAACTGGGACCTCATATCCACACCACCAATACAAAGCAATGGTCTGAGCTCTGGATACCCATTTTCCCTCATAGGTACCAAAAACTGTTCCACCACTTCATATGTCTGCCTAGCAAGCTCCCTTGAAGGACAGACAATCAACCCAAAAGGGCCTTCTCCTGGAAGTATTGGCATCATCATCTCCTCCTGCAATGCAATCATAATCAGTGGAAGCACAAACACAAGCGTTTTTCCCGACCCTGTAAACGCAATCCCAATCATATCTCTTCCTGACAAAATCACAGGCAGACCTTGAACTTGAATAGGAGTCGGCTGCACAATCCCCTTTGCCTTCAACTTCTTCAAAACGGGATCCGGAAACTTCATATCCTTAAAATTCTTAATAGGAGGTGGGATATCTTCCCCGTCAACAATAATATGCCAATGTTTCCGAATCAAATCTCTCTCTTTTTTCGACATCCTTCGAATATGCAAAGGTGGTTTCCATCCAGTCAACAAAGGCTCCTTATAAGTAATCCCTTTTGCCAATTCCCGGACTGACATCAGGGTCTTTCGATCTGATAAATGTTCAATCATCTCTTTCTCCTGTTGTACAATTTGTTCCATTTGACTTATTTCAGGTTGGTCCTTCTTAAGCTGGGTTGCTTTTACAAGCAAACTAGGTTTCACTTCAGCAAGATTGGATTTTTCATTCTCATCTTCAAGTGCAGATGACTTGCCCTTTCTTTGTAGGATTTTTTGAGCTTCCATGGCTCGGCGTTTTGCAACCGGAATATACTCAACGTAATCATCATCTTCCTCCATTTTTTAATTTTCTGCATTACCCAAAAAAACCCCTAAATTATGATGTTGAGATTAAGGCTGAAAAATGTTCAATTCTAAAAAAATAAATTGCAGAAGTAACAAGCATAAAACCCTCATATTTTCTGTGCACTCTATACTGAAACATAATAATCAGCTGCAATATTTCACAAAAGCACAATAATTACTGCGACCAATGAGATGGAAAATGCATAAAAAAACAGGAAACAGAGAAACCCTAATGACCATTCAGGTAAAATGCCAGGATAAGCAAAAATAAAAAAGAAAGCAAAATCAACAGAAACATCTACCAAAATGAACTAGACTAAAATCAACAGCTGAAAACAAGAGTAAATTATATAATTTTCAAAAATCAGACCTTTCAGGGTTTGCCCCTTACCCTGCTAATTCGCTTAAACGAATAACGGACTCTGACACCGGCGGACAGGAGACAGGACAAAGCACAAGGCAGTGGAGGTATTTCCTTTTTGGATACACAGAGGTGGGTGGTACGGATAGGATAGATTTCGAGGTATTTATACAGTTTTTAGATTGAAGGAGACAACGGTGGCTAGACCTTTTTACAGAGGAAACAGGGGCAGAAGGGAGGGGACGAGGAGAAAAGAGAAAGGGATTGTCCGCTAGGGTTAGGTTAAAATTTTATCGAAAATTCAAAACCACGTCGTTTTATGCAAACAAGAAGAAGAAGTGAAAAAAGAGTTGTGTCGGACTCACCCAAGTTCAACCCGCTTCAGCTTCAGACACAGTCCATTTTGTTTTATTTATGAATTTTTCTATGCATGAATTAAATTTTTTAAATTACTTTAAAAAAGAGAGAAGAATAAAAAGTGAAACAATTCTTTTGATAAATAATAAAAAATGAAACAATTAATAATGACTTGCCAAAATTATTGAGGGATTTCAAAATTATTTTAACAAAATTGATTAATTTTGAATAATTATAAATAATTATAAACGCATAAGATAAAATAGTAATAATTAAAATTGAAGATAATTTACAAAATTTCATCATTAAAATTAAAAAAAATAATGAGCATAATTAATATTCATTTTATTCTGACTTTCAAAAAACATTCATTTTATTTTAATAATTTTATTATCTAATAATTATGTAACTTATCAATAATTACTTACAATATATTACATTTTCTCAATTTTAATTTTATTTCTAATTTTATTTTTCCTTCTTTTCTCTTGGACGGTTGACAAATCACTTATTCAATCATCTAGCATCCCAGCAATCACTAAATTTTAGAAAGGAAAAATGAGTAGAGAAAGGGTCATTGAGGAATCTCCTTAAGTCTACAAAAATCTTTCCCACTTACAAGGAATGTTTGGACACCTCAACAATTGGTTTAGCATAATTGATTAAGACATTTTATTGAATTAATCATGTAATTTAAAATTTAATGAATTTCAATATGTTGTAGGTAGAACTTAAAATGGATGTGTTAAATGATTCAAAATCCAATGAAAATTGATAAAATAATAATGCGTACAAATATTACTGTAAGTTCTAAAATTTAAAAATTTATGTGTCTTCAAATAATTTAGATCTTTATATTTTTTAATTCTTTATCATCTTTTTTGGATAAAGAGTTTCTTTTTTAATTACATCATTCATTACTTTTATTTATTTATTGCCTATATAAATCACAAGTAGGTTGGACTTGGACCTGAGCTACATTTACTAAATTGCCACGAGGCTTAATCGAGGCTTTAACTCTTTGATACCAACATAATGCAGAATTATGTAAAATTTATTAAAATATTATATGAAGTTCATATTTATAAGTGAGGGAGCCTTATATAATCTTTTGTTGTGATTAATTAGACAATTGCAGATTGTATTAAAAAAAATACTAGGGAAATGCTCTATTTTTTGCGCAAATTTAATTTATTGTCTCCTTTTAATTAATATGTATTTTAAAATTAATATTTTATTTTAGTCACTTGTTTCTTTAATCAAATACATAATTTAGGTTTTTGCTCATTTCTTGAAAGCAAATGTAATAAATAAGAAAAAAATCAGTAGTGAAAGTAACAACTAATGGTAGCCTTAATTGATTATCCTAAGTCGACATTTTCCATTAGTTTTTCACCTATATGTTTCTTCACTGTGCCATGATTGCTTCGTTTCGTTCCAATGCATCCAGGTTTCTAGTCTTGGTAAAAATTAGATCATAGCAACACTGTCAATGAAGAGAGTAGTTAATTTCTACTAACCTTTTTTTTTTCTTAATTTCTATTAACTATTTTTTTGATAAATTTAATTTAAGATTTATATTTGATATATTAATTATCTGTATATAAAAATTTTATATATTATCAATAAATAATATGTTACCTCTTTATTAATAAACAAATTTAAAAAGTTTAAAACCTTTATAAGTCAAGTTGCTCAATCATCCTGTGACAATTAATGTGGTTGGGAAAGCATTTGATTTAGTTCGACCAAATAGTAGCTTATAATCATGGAGATGAATAGGAGAAACAAAATAATTGCTCTCTTTTTAATTCGTAGGTGTAGAATGTGTGGCTGATTAATCTATAGTGCTTGATTGGACCTGAATTAGTTTTAAGATAATGTGATAAAATTTATTGATTAATTTATATTCTATTTCACCTTTTATATGAACCACTTTCTCCACCCATTCTGTCCCAACCAAAAATTAATGTAAGTAATTGTTATATATATGATTACTAGAGACAAAAGATTAGATAGAAAAAGATAAAACGTGAATTGACTAGAATTATAATTAATTAATTTATTATCGTTTGAGAATGATTAAGAAAAAAAAGAAAGATATTGATAGTTGATAAAGATATGAGTGATCCTGCAGGAGAAAGATGCCATGAAAGCATCAACTTAAAAAACGACTGAATATTGGAGTAGTTGTAGGGAAAAAAAAAACAGGGAGAATGAAGATAGGCTTAATGTTTAAATTGAGACTAAATGTTTAGATATTTTTTTAATTAAAGATTAAACGTTTCAATTATAACAATCAATAATTAAATGTTTTAGATTTCTTATCATTATGGACTAAGATTATAGGTGGATGATGCGTGTAGGATACACGCATGATGTGAACGCTGATTATAATTATTGTTGTTCACACAGTAGGTGAATTGGATTTTTGGCAAACAGTGTCGTTTTGTGTAAGAAAAAATAACGTTATTTTCCCTTATTTGATTATTCTTATCGGTTAAAATTTCTCACCATTTTAGTTTTCTTACAGTTGACCCAAATTACCCGCACTTTGCCTGTTCTCCTCTTCGATCAACCTCTCTTATCCTTCTCTCTCCTCTAATCAATCTCTCTTGTCCGATCATTTTCCCTCTCCATTGTCTCACCGTCCAGCTAGGTATCTGATCACTGTCAGCTTATCAAGCATCTCCTTGTTTGTGGGTTCCCATCACCGTTTTCTTCTTACAGTTTGCTAAACCAGAAATAGTTAGGTATGTCCTACATTGTCATTTTCATTTTCTATCTTTAATAGTTGCCACCAATAAGTTTACCATAGAATCTTGTTTCTACATGGCATGTAATAAATTTTGCAAATGGCATGTAGTCTCTCTGAAATAACTAGTAATGGCGTGTAGGAAGTTATTGTTACATGCCATGTTAAAAAATGTTATTACTCACCACGTAGAAAAAATAGTGTGGTTACACGTTATGTTCAAAAATATTATCTAATCATGAAATTTTTAATATTTTGAACAAAATGGATGATCAATTATGCGTCATAAGGTTTCATTACGGTGGTGCTTTTGTTGAGGGAAAGAAGAACTTCAAGTATATTAATGGTTTAATGAAGGATGTTGGTCCTAATTGAGTGCTAGAGAGGAGTGAATAGTACTTAAAATTATTTTCGAGGATAACTCTTGAGCTTGAAAAACTTTTTGAACAATATGAGATGGAAGGTTTAAAACTTGTTAAGGTTAAAGGGCACCAAGTAAAGAAAGGGTAAAGAGAAGTGGACAAAACACAAATATTTATAGTGATTTGGTCCCTTTGATCTACATCCATTACCTTGATCTCCCAATCAAGAATTTTCTACCTAACTTCACTAAACCAGTAAAATTGACAACTTTCACCAAGCTTTTACAAAGTGAGCTTTTAATGTGAGCTTTTAATCCAAGCTTTAGACCCTTATAATAAATCTTAGAGTGTTTTCCAAACTCTAATCAATAAGAATAAAGAAGAAAAAGAAATACAAGTAATCACCCTTGCTGATCTAAGATTTATACAATCAAACTCAAAACAATTTAACAAGAATAGAAATGAAGAACAAGTGTGTAAAAGAAAGTGTTTTTGCTTTTTAACACAAAATGTGGTCTTGGTAGCTTTTCTCTTCTTTTTGACCATTAAAGGACCCTTTTATACTAGGAAAATCAAATATGGCTATTAGAGACAATTTCTTGTTGTTATGAACAGATCTAATGCCTCTTTAGCCGTTATTTTGTATTCTAATATTTAAATTCAAATGGGTAGACAATTATTTGTTAACTAGTTAAAGGTAGGTTTTAACCGATTAAAACATTTTTAACTTACATTGTTTACAGCTCTTTTCACTGTGTTAACCAGTTAAAAGAAACTCTAATCAATTAGAAACATTCTGTTTTCAAACTTCTTCAACTAGCAATCTTCCTTTAATTGGTTAGTCCTCCCTTTAACTGATTGAAGGTTCTCTTTCTTCAACTTTAACCGGTTGAAATAAACATTAACTGATTAAAATATCTTCAAATTTGAAATCTCTCATTTGGTGCCCTTCAATGGTCAACTTCCCTTTGAATTTAAATTTTAGTGCTTCTAGGTATTTCAAGTCTTAAGCTTTAACCGATTAATCCCTTTGCTTTACCAATTAGCAAGCTTCTGTGTTTCGCTTCCAATACACTCTAATTAGTTAAGCCTTGTGCTACCTGATTAAGGCTTTTCTGTCTCACTTTTATATAACGCCCAAATTTACCTTCCATGATTTAAGCTTCTCATTAATCAATTAATAATGTTCTATTTTCACTAAGTTTTTTCTTCTTTACCTTTTTAATTGATTAACTTTTCTTCTAAGTTAACAAGTTTCTTGACTTCTTTTAATCATCAAATTTATTAAGGGAATTTAAACTTTATCCTACACACTTCAGTAGAGAAGTTAAAAAACACATAGAATCAACATTCTCTCCCTTTTTGATGATGACAAAACACTTCTAGATTAAGAGTGCTATGTCAATATGAATTTCATATTAAAAAGTGACATGTTTCATTGAATTGTGTGTTCAACAGATCGGTAGCCCTAGGCCTGAAGGGCGTGGTCAAATTCAAGGCCTATTACTACCGATCATGGAACTTACGCTAGAACATGCCTTCAATGCACTTGATCAAGATGGTGATTAGCATTTTTCTTGCTTGCCTCAAACACAAGTTAATACTCTCCGTAATGTTGGATGTCATGAGTTTGTAGCACCTTACTGGTGACTATGGACATGCCCATTTCTCAAGACATAATTTCATAAGGTGGTTATAAATATCCTTGCAAAGTTGTTTCAAATTATTCATATGTCTGTTGAAATTAGTGACCGTGTAGTAATTGGTTAAGAGGGTGAAAATCACTACAATGACTTGGCT